ATTTGCAGAGCTCCAAAGATAGAAGACATAACACATATATTATTTGAATGCCAAGTGTATAAAAAAGAGAGGGATCAGTATCTTGGACCACATATTAGACGAATGATCTATTGGGATCCTTATATTAAAACAACATATTTAATGTGTGGTCAGAATTCAAAAATTACATATAATACGGCCCTTTATTTGAACAAAACAGTACAATTGAGATCTGCATATGTGGATCTGATCAGAGTAAATTGTAGGGGTGATACAGAAGTATGATCTGCATCTTTTTTCTTTTTTAATTTTAATTTTAATTTGTTTCTCTTATCCTATTTTTAAAATATGGTCTTAATAATGCCTTATGTTTTATATGTTTTATACTCTGTATCTTGATATGGCCTAATGGCTAATCAATGATAAACTAAACTAAACCATCCTTAAAAGAAATGCCACAGACTTTACAAGTGGCATCCAGGGACCTGAAGAATACCTCTTATGAACTTGGTTTGCCCAACTTATAGCAGCAGATCTGAGAATCATAAAGCAAGAAGCTCAGTGCTAGGTTTTCAATGAATGTAGGGCAGGAAGAACATTAATATGGTTATGGGTACTAGCAAATTGTAAAATAACATTAGCAGTGTTATAGGCTTGTAAAGAGGAATAATAAGTATCTCTTATTACTTATCAGAAGTTTGACACCTTTGACTGTTCTATATTGATGCCGTTAATCATCAACTTTCAGTTACAGATTATATGTATTTAGTAAACAATACCACTTTTGTTTTAGGGTAACCAAAGGCCAACTTTATGCACCACAACTCTGGGCAGCTCACAAAACAATACTAAAAACTGAAAAGGAGAATAAAACCAACATCCAAGAAAACAGATCCCAGCACCCTAAACAACACTTTGCAACTCATCAACAATTACAATCACTGATCCCAAAGCTTGAGAGAAAAACCAGCTTTTTAAGGCCTTCCAGAAGGCTAGGAGAGTAGGGGCTTGCTGGATCTCAGGGGGAAGGTACACCACAGGACAGGGGCCACTATGGAGAAGGCATGGCTCCAGGGTTCCCTTAGGTGGCAATGTTTAAGGGAAGGAACCTGGAGCGTGCCCATCCTATCTGCCCGGTGGAATGGGCAGATACCCTCAGGAAGAGGTGGTCCTGCAAATAATCTGGTCCCCGGCCACGCAGGGCTTTAAAGGTAATAACCAGCACCTTGAATTGCACCCAGAAAAAAACTGGAAGCCAGTGCAGCTTGTGCAGCAACAGTGTACTATAGCAAATGGAGGGGCACCCCAGACTGTGCATGCCACATTCTGAAACAATTTCTGGATGATTTTCAAAGATAGCCCCATGTTGAGGGCATTGAAGTAATCCAACCAGGAAGTGAGCAGGAATGACTAACCGTAACCAAGTCCTCCCAGTCTAGGAACAGGTGCAATTGGCACACAAGATGGATCTGTGCAAAGCCTCCCCCCCACCATTACAGCTATCACCGGCTTCTCAAGCAGGAACCACGAGTCCAGGAGGGCCCCCAAATTGCACACCAGCTCTGTCCAGGGAAGTGCTACCTTGCTGAAAGTCAAAGATGACATTCTCCAGATGCCCATTCTCCAGATCCAAGGGGGCCAAAACCCCTAAGCCACTTTGTCTTGCTAGGGTTAAGTCAGAGCCGGTTCCTTTCTGTTGAGACCCTCATAGCTGCCAGACCCTGGCTGACTGATGGCTCCTGAACCCATGACTGACTGATTTATTTATTCCATTAATTACAGCCGCCCACTCCAGCAGACTCTGGGCAGCTTACAAAATATAATACTGCATTAAAACAATTAAAAACATTGACAAGACAAAATAAGGCAGACCAGCCTAAAAACAACTATTAAAATAAGGCGTGATAAGGCCCCCAAACACATTCACCCCAGGCCTGAGACCAAAGCCAGATCCTTAGTGCTTTTTGGAACCCCAGGAAAGAGGGCACCATCCGTATCTCCGGGGGATGCTGCTCCAGAGGGTGGGGGCCGCAACCAAGAAGTCACGCTTCCTTAGTCACACAAGATGGCAGTGTTTAATAGGTGGGGCCTGGAGCACATCCACTCTGCCCAAACGTACAGGGCAGGCAGAAACAATGGGAGAAAAGTGGTCCATCAAGAAACCAGATCCAATGCTATGAAGGACTCTAAAAGGAACAACTAGCACATGGTAACTAAGGGCAGCTGAATTCAATTGACCATGGTCAGCTAGATATGATTTATCTCCAGGGTTAAGTCTATACCTGATTATTTTCCTACTAGCCTTTTAGGGGAATTAGTGTTTTGTTTTGTACTTACTTTGTTGGTTATTATGTTGTGGAGTCCTTGGTGCTCTCTGGGCTTGGTTGTTTGCTTGCAGATGTTGGGTAATGAAACATCTGCAAGAAAACAACCAAGCCCCGAGAGCACCACGGACTCCACAGTTCAGCCCTGAGCTACAGATATTGTCTTCTATTGGAGATATGAGATAGGATAGGATAGGATAGGATAGGATAGGATAGGATAGGATAGGATAGGATAGGATAGGATAGGATAGGATATTCCTGTTATGTTTGTTAGATGCCTATTCATAAGTGAAGCCCACCATCCTTAAATCAAGAACCAGTTTGGTGTAGTGGCTATGGTGCTGTGAGTTCCAGTTCTCCCTTAGGCATGAAAGCCAGCTGGGTGACTTTGGGGCAGTCACTCTCTCACAGCCCAACCCATCACACAGGGTGGTTGTTAGGAGGAAGACAGGAGCATTAACTATGTATGCTGTCTTGAGGTGACCAAAAATAAAAATGGGAATATAAATCAATACATACTTTTTAGTTGCTCTTTTATTGGTTGATAATTATCTTAATTTCTTCCCTTTTTTAGTTTGGTTTCATTTTTAAGGATACCCTTTTATTATTCTAACGTGTTAATCTGAATGTTTTCTTATATGTACTCTTTTACTTCTTTTTAATCCTACTGGTTTAGTCTGTACACCAATATAGACAAATAACTCCAAGTTTGCCCTTCGATTTGTGCTGATTAAATAGTGCAATAAAAATGAATGATATTATGCTTTATAAATGAATAACCTGCTGTTTGTGACTCATAACAGGAAAAAACGTGAATGGACTGTGATTACAAGAAGAAGCCAATACTTAATTAACAGCAGAGAAGAAATCATAAACAGGTGAGGTAGGAATTAACTTGCAGTTTACAAGCTGAGTTGTAAATTTGTATGATTCTGCAGAAGTCAGGTTTGTGCAGCTGACTGAAAGTCAAGATCTTTTATAGAGATCAAATATATGCCTTGCTATGCAAGAGAAAGATACAAGCTCAGCATGATACTTCTATAGTATGTATTCTCCAAGCATCTTGGATTACAATCCCTGCTGTTCCCTAGTCAGTAATGATGGAGAAGCAAGCTGTAGTCCAAGATTTCAGGAAAGCATCAGTTTGGAGACAAAGCTAGAGTGAAAAATCCTATCAAGACTTCCTATACATGGGAAAAGGTAAAGATCTCCAACACGCAGCAAGCTATACAAAGCTGGGTGACTTCCTACTCTGGTTGCCACTTTGACAGCCCTACATAGCACAGGGTCTGAATTTCTGCAGAACCACCTTCTCCCAGGAGATTCAGCCCATCAAATAAGACCTAGTAGGAAAAGCTTCCTTCAAGTCCTTCTTTGAGGGATTAGCATCATCAGGGACCACGATACAATCTTCTTTCAGTAACTGTCCCTCTCCTTAGGAATGATGCTCCCCACAAGGCCAGGTCAGCATCATCCTCTTTGGCATTCAGGAAAGCTGCCAAGACATGGCTGTTCCAGAAAAATTTTGAGGATTGATGGTATGGTGGGTCTACCAGCTGTTAGGACGTTGCTTGTAATTGGGTTGTGGGGCATGGGGATCTTTTGGTTCTATTTTACTTTCCTATTACTGTAAGTCACTCAGAGCTTTTCTGCTATTGAGCAACATCTAAACACCCTAAATAAATAAATACTCTGAAATATTCTGCACAAGTTTCCCTTGCTAGAGATAAGCACCATACCATATAGGGCCCAGGAAAGCTGCTGCAGAGTGTCCTTGGGACGTAAGGAAAGCAGTACTTTTCCAGGGATCTGGAAAGGGTGCATCATGGAGGCTGCAATTCTCAAAAAGTTGCTACTCCAGCTGAGATGTGACAAAAAGCTCTGAAACAACTTCATGGGGCAATGGAGGCATCACTAAATGCAGAGAATGTGCAAAGCGATCTGTCAGGTGGCCATAACTGAACATGTCTTAAATCCTTTGCAGCAGGTCGTGAGTTTTGCCAAAAGCATGAACCTTCTCCATGAAAAGACCCACCACTGGTATGAATTGGGGCCAATATTTATGAACTCAGACATCTTAAGAACTTAGTTGTTATTATCCAGTTTTCCAGTTATGGTGTCAGCTTACAATTGTTAACCTGGCTGATTTTGCAAGATTTACCATCATGCATTGCCTTAAAACATAATGGTTAAAAGGGAAGATCCTAATACACTTGTAACATAATGCCTTGCAAGTCACAAGCAAATATACTTGACTCAGATTACAACTCCTTCCACAAGCACATGTAGAGGCAGAAAGAGCATTTCAAGCTGAAAATTAATTTCTGGTTCAGGAAGATCCATGATTCGCTTTATTAAGCCGTAGAGCGATCCCCACCCTTACTACCACCTACTTGCTACCACAGCTAGCCAGGCCTAATGGCTATGAAGCCCACTTCTGGTCTGGAGGACAACCTTGTCCCTTTGCTGGCCAGGCTTCAAGACGCTCTGCTGCATAAAGAAGTCCACCGATTCTATTCTGATCGTCCTCACAGAATCCAAACTTTCCAGCATTGTCCTCTGTGGAACTAAGAAGTGCCAGCCAAATTGACCACCGGAAGAAACGGCTAGGACAGCAACCGGGCAACAACAGTGCCCAACACTCCCGCCCCAGGTTGCCAAGGCCAGCAGCACACAATGGGAAAGGAGAGGACCCACCTGCAGTTGGGGCTTTCCCTGGCGAAGGAGGGTCTCAGTCCCGCGTGGGAAACCCCCGGCTGGGGCTGCCGCCCCCGCCCCCCCCCCCCCCCCCCCGCCCCCGCTGCTGCCCGTACCGCAGCCGGCTCTGGCGGGCAAGCCGTGGGTCAAGGGGGCCCAGCAGCAGCAGCG